GTCACTCGCTGTGCAAAGCGCAAGGATTCAGGTGTGAAGACCTCTTCTTCGGGAAGATCCTTGACCCACTCCTTAGGGAATGGACTATGCCTCTGCTTGGGAACCAGCTCGTGTGCCCGTACCAATTCCTCAATGTATCCCTTCTGTGACAGGGTAAACCCTTCAGCACCAGTATCTGTGGACTCAACTCGAATCTCAACACCAAGAAAGGTGATAGGCTCATCCTTCGAGGCAGCCTGTAGAGGAGTACACTCCCAAGTGCTTCGTATCCAGGCATGAGCAAGTTCGGCATCCTCAGGACTGGACAGGATCATAAGATCATCCACGTAAACAATGGCATAGCCGATCGTCCTATTGCAATCGGTAACCAGTGTCCATAGATTACTCTCGATACTGGATTGTACTAGGCGCACGGTGCCATGATCAGACTGCCAACTTGCGTCCCGCAAAACAGCGTCACGATGATCTGACCACCAACGTGGAGAATGGCGAAGGCCATAAATGGCCCGTTCCACGTACCATAGCTCTCCAGGCTGGGTAATCTCAAGCAGTTCAAGAATTCTCGGCGGGCGAAGAAGAATGCGGGTCTTCTCGGATTCGGGGATGGGAGCCAGTAAAAAGGCGTTCTTAATGTCAGTTATGTATGCGCCGTATTTTCTCGCTGATGCTTCAATGAGACACGCCCGGAGAACATCAGCGGGTATACCGCTGGCATAGACATCAGTAGCACTATCCTTGGCTTCGAAATTCCCGCAGCCGACTACCCTGCACTTGCGTCGGTACAGATCTTTCCCAGAACCTGGCTTAACTGTGAAGACCGTCTTGGCCGGTAAGATCTGAGTCCCAGAGACCCTTGACTCACGTACTGCATCATCTCCAAATAAGCGGCGAATTCCTTTCATGCCTTCTAAGGCATTCACCTCAGTCATTGCCGCCTGGCGCCACTTTGACAGATGTCTCTTGACTTCTGCCGGTGCCACGTTATGGACCACCTTCAAAGAGGACGTCAAGCCCTCCAAGATCTCCTCCACGTTTTGGGTGTACATGTCCTCTTCGACCTTGTTCACAACAGGAGTATTCAATCCAGAGCTGCTTGAGGACCTCGATGTCACAGGATTCCCTTCTCTAAAAACCCTTATCGGGTTTCCAGTTGGAACACCAATCACCTGGTGCTCACCAAAGGCATGGCCTGTTGTCTGACTGCGATCCTCGCCATCCAACACTGCTGGACACGAAAGCGCCTTGCACTTAAACTCCTCTTGAGCCTGAGAACAACTGGACCCTATCGGCGAAGCCCCTGAACTCACGACGACGTCGTCATTAAGCCCAGGTCCCAGGTCATTCTGAAGTAATGCACCGCATGACCCATCATCAATCAACACCTGCTGGAGTTCTAGCTCCTGCTCCTCCTCAAAGCCATCCCAGGTAGCCTGCATCCTAAGGGTCTCCCGCGCGTACACATCATACTCCTCCTCAAATCCGGGTTCAACGTAGGTAGGAGCTGAGGCTGAGCCACTAGGAGCCTCAACGTGGGTCCGAGGCTGAGTGCCACCCTTGGATGGGAAAACCAAATCCTCATTAGGGCGATCAGTACTACTCCCAGGTTGTTGAATATCGAACGTTCCCTGAGGGGGAAGGGCTCCATATTCATTGTAGGGATCAACCAGTTCAACCCAATCCTCAAAGTAAGGGTGCCGTTGATTTCCTCCATTGTCACGACCCTCAGTCCGTACGCCCAAGCCCGGAAGTGGTGGAGGGGGATTCTTGTAACCCAAGGTCCTATTCTGGAAAATCCATGGAATCTGACGCTGTTGTCTGTCGAACAACCGAACCTCCCCAGTGGTCAACCCAGTGTTGTTCGGGTTGTCAGGACGATGAACCCCGTCAGGACGAATCCCAATGAAAGCTCGCCTTGCATCTTGTTCCGGAATTCCAAACTCAATCAGATCCTCCAAGAATAGGAACGTCAAGTCCTCTGGGGTGGTAATCCCCAACACCTGCAGTTTACCACACAACCACTCAACTCCCCTTTCACGTAAGAACCTGGAGAGATCTTGGTTCTCAGTGCTCAACTGAGGGAAGCCTCCAGGATTGCCATTGGTAAAATCCCAACCTATGATAGGCGTATTCGTATCTTCCTGTAGATCACTCTCAAGCGAAGTTGGGAAAGGCTCGGCAGGGACCGGGTCATATTCCCCAATTGGTTCCCGATTGAAGCCCTGTTGGTTGGGTTCGGGATCTGATTGGCCTTCGGTGGAACTTGAGTCATCATGCCTTACCATACGGACCTCATGATCGGTGTTCCCACTGGGCCCAAAGGTGAATCCCAATCCCTCCAAATTAACCCTAACCGATTCTTCAAGCTTCCGCGAACCAAGTGGAGTATAGCCCACAACTAGCCAATCAGAAGTTTTCTGTACAGCATGAGGTTTCCTGGCATCAAACGACACGGCCTCCCCTGTCAAGGCCACACACCTTGGTGAATCCCAATCTGGCTCAGGCATCTCACCCCTTCGAACACCATCATCGGAAGAAACCCAGAGCCTAAGCATACCAGGTACGTAAGCCACGTGGTTCAGGGAGCCCCACTCGTTGCGAAAGTCCTTATGCGCAGGAACATCGGTAGCACGTATGATCATGAGCGCGGTCCAGGATTGGTGGAGATCCTTCTTCTCCTCATCCTGGAGCCTACTCCTCAGGAAACAATTCACATACTTGGTGAAGCTAGGGCTTCGGCGAGTAAGCCTAGTCATACCCCTAATGCCGCCGTGACAATATGCACCCAGAACAATTCGTTCATCAAACTCACCCCTTCGATCAAGTGAAGAGCGATCCCCTTTTGCAACGTGGTCAACTATCTTCGCAAATGTTTCATTGTCAAACTTCTCTTGGATTGTTGCCAAATTGGCCAGGGCCTCAAAATCAACCGACTCATCGTACTCAACAAAGCGGACCGTGGACTTTCCTGTGATCCTCCTCAATGGCATAGAATGAGGCTCTTGCTCCTCCTCATCCCCAAACAAGTCCCAGTCCTCAGACTCCTCCTGGATTGGTGGAACTCTGGCTTCCTCTAAAGCAGCTGGATCTACCACTCCAGAGCGAAAGCCCTTCGAAGACACTAAGTTGCCATCCTCCGTTTGAAGCACATGTCCCTCCGGAACCGAAATATGAGGAGCCATATACTTAGTCATAACCCAACGCGGTGAGAAATCCTTGATCGCTCCAGATGGCCGCTTTAATTTGTGAAGTACATCCTGTCCGAATGCTGGAAGGGAAGGCTCTCCATGGACCCGCCGATTGTGTGACTCCACTGCCCATCTTGCAGCGAGAGGCCAAAACCTTACGTCGGTCTTAGACGATGTGAGAAGGGTCTTGACCCTTGACTTAACCCAACCCACCGTTCGCTCGGCTAAGCCATTAGCCTTCTTATCCGTCGGTAAAGAATGCTGAACCCTCACAGAGTGTTCTGTCATCCACCGGGTGAGTCCTGATGATGTAAATTCAGTTCCTTGGTCACAATGAAGGATTCGTACGGGATACCTTTTATTGATAGCAAGTATCATACGCTGAACACCCTGTGCGACATCTGCTCCGGTCTTAGATTTCAGCGCAACAAAGTACCGCAGCACCACCATTTCAACCGGTTTTTTCAGTTCCTCCACTAAGCGCTCAAGTTCAACCTTATCAGAGGGAAGCTCTCCAGCACCCCAGTCCTCAACAGACTCAGCGACCAACCCATCCGGTCCCGCAGAACCGTCCACCGCTTGGGCAGAGACACTAGGCATTTCACCGTGATCATCTCGGAACAGCTCAGAGGGTGACTCCAAAACAGGTTGTAATCCTTCAATTGAAACAGCAGCGCCCCCTTCATCAGGAACCGAAGGCTCATATTCATCCATGTCTTCCTCCGGGAACACATCCGAAGGAAAGAGGTCAGCTATTCCATGTGGATCCTGAGGGAACGACGACTGCACGATAACAGATCTGGGCACCCTAAAGGCCCCAACTAGACCATACTTAACGTGTGGGTTGCCTGACACCGATTGCTCATCGCGACCGTACTCCCCTTTCGGAAGGGGGCCAAACAGGTCAACAGATAAGCTGAAGGATTGAGGGAACTTCACACGACGATGTTGAACTCCAAGCCCAGCTCCCTCTACACAGAACCTACAATCCCGTCTATAAGGAACGTGCCCATTGGCCAGGTGTGCTTGCCACGCCGCAGTCTCCTGGGGTGTTAATTCACAAACCCTTGCCGATGAGTCCACATGATCAGGTGACGCATCAATTTCCTCAGGCGTGGAAGGAATCTCCCCTACGGCAACCGCAGCTCCATCACCGAGGACTTCATCATCACTCCTTGGAGCTCGCTCACGTTGTGCCCTTGAAATCATCTCATCCAGAACATGGCATGGTGGACAATGAACCTTCCCACCCAAGGCCTTGGTAAGTTCCTGTA